TAATTTTTATTCACAAAATTAACATAGCCTCGGAGGGTCATATTCCTAGCAAAGATCCCACTTGGATTCGATTTGATTTTTCGGGTCGGATCCGGATCTTTAGAAATATCCGTTAGATCCAGTCCGTGCGGAACACTAGTTGGCCTTAAATATAACTGGGTGACATTACTCCGGGGGGAGTTAGCAATAGTCTTTGATATATTCCCTAACTGTAATATAAATTATAGCGTTTATACTTAGTAAATATAGTCATACTTACATATATTAACTTTTTTTTGATTATTATATCTTATTAAACAATGAAAGTTAAAAATATCAAACTTAATATACAACGCCAACAAAAATTTAAAATCCAAGGGACGACGGTTTTAGTCTGATATAGCGATTTTATAAGCTTATGTACTATTGTATACGAAAGTTAATATACTCTATTAAGACAAATGTACTTAGATGTAAAAAAAAAAAAAAAAAAGGCTGTAAATGCAAGCATATAAAACTTTAGACATAAAAATGCATACATTGAAGTGTTTACATTTTTTCAAAGACCCCGGTGCCCATACGCAAGTCGAATAATGTTAAACCTGGGTTTTATATTTTGATTGTATGCTAGCTAAAAAATACACGGGAGTTTTATAACATTGACTCTATTGATAAATTAGTCTATAAATTATATGTGAATTATAATGACCTCTGAATTTCATGCTAACAATCTTTATGTTAATGGACCCAGACTCCCTTTAACGCAGGTAATCTTTGTATCATTTCACAGATGCAAAACTTCATATAATTAATTGTTTCTACAATTATTTTTATCATCGGTCTACAAAATTCTGCTACTTCTATTATTGCCAGTTTGCCATTGATATCCCTGTTGCTCACTACTTATCAACAGAGGTCCACCTGGCCCATAGCCACGTGCACTTTCATACTTGAATTCATTCTCAGGATCTCCAAAATTGGTCGCAATAGTGCATGGTCCATTTGATCCGATAGTTGGAAA